GCTGTGATTAATGGGTATCGCTTTGAGAACAATTCGATCAAGGCATCCCAAGTTTTACACAGAATGCAGCAAGATGGGTATGAGCCTGACTTCAACACCCACTGGGCTCTAATCTGCAATTTGAGCAGTTCCAGTGGTAAAAACAAATCTGAAGGATTTTTATCAAGATTTCTTTCTGATGTTGGATTTTCTCGGAATAACCCGAATGCGAAGAAGGGGTGATTTAAGAGCCCTTCTGTATCAAGATTGCGCACATGGGGTGCAAATTAGAAAATTTGAACATATATCTGAATTAGGACCAATCGAAAATATGTTTTTTTTTATTTTTGTAACTTCGAAATTTTGAAATCTGAGCTCTTGATAGTGTGAATATGCTTTTGAATATGTGTTTTGACAGAGACGTGTATATGTATCTTGATTCCAGTTTTGAAACCAATTTTGAATAGGTTTTAAATAATTACATTTAGAACTTAATTCCTGATCACATGTTTTCAAACCAAATATTTTTCTTCTTACAGGTTATGTTCTTCAATTGAAGCCCCATGTTGGTTTTACTTGCAGAACTAAGACCATTCGTCTCCCATTTTTTATGCATTAGAATTGCAACAGAAAGGTCACGAGTTTGAAACCTATCCTCAGCATTTTTTATTAAAAGTGCGCAAGAATTTTAAGGTTACGGACGCCAGAAAACTGGTGCCGGGCATAAAGAATACCATTGTCGAGATTATGTTTGAATGACTTACTAGCAGTGAAAAGCCGACCCCAAGATTTATTCTTGTTCAAACTGTTTTTGCTGCAAGTTTTTTTCATTTGAAAACTTTTCCAAAGAGTTTGTGTGGATGCCCAGTCACTCCAAGTCCGTGATGTTTTGTCTTCAACCTTTGGAATAGTTTATTAGGGACTAATGTGACATGTTTTTATCTATAAAATAGATCTTGGCTCTAAAGTTTTTAAAATTTTATCAAACAGATTTTTGTTCATATTAAAAATGTGTTCATTGAAATCGGGACGCAGAGATAATATGAAGAGCATCAACCAAAACCACGCAGTCATACGCCGAATATGACAAACCTCGCAATAATCGAAGTCACGTATGAGAAATGAAACATCAATGTAAGCAACAAGCATACCATATAACATTGACAAACACAAAGAAGTTCGTTTCACACACTACATATCCAGCCACAAGAAATAGTGACTTCGAAAAAAACCATCCCACATATTCGGGGGCTTTATTACAACATTCTAAGCACAAACAATGGACAGCCAAATGACTGACCTGCTGCAAGGAAACCGATCTTATGACACATGACGAGGGAAACGTAGAACACACTTTATTTAGTACTTGGTAGTTTTAATAACATGGCAAGAACAACCACATTATTGTGGACGCATGGCAAGACGCGAGTTATGTTTAATCGTCATAGTGCTTGCGATGGTGGCGATGGCGATGCTTGTGGCTATCCTCATCGTTTGAATCATCATCACCCTGCCATTTTTATTTTAAAGTCTAGTCACAATCTAGGAGCTAAGAAGCAATTCACATTATATAAGATTCAATGCTGCAGGAATATATATTAATTAAGTAGTTCTAAATTGAAATGGAACTAATGCACTCTTGAATCTGCACTGAAGACAGTTCTTGGCACAGAGATGGTGCAAGCACGTCAGTTTGTACATTTTGCTTTTCCACAGCTTAAGTGGACTGATCAAAGCAATGACACTGGAATTTGGAAGGATCAGGCTTCAAATGAAACTGAAACAATAAGAAAACATAGTGATCATTCAGGAGATTTCGCTGGTCCTTCAGCATTAGATAGATCTGTAAACTATTCAAACTAGTCAGATAACCATCCAGATCCAGAGTGCTCCCCAAATTGCTCAAACCTTGATGAACATAAATCTTCAGAGATTGAAGTTGTTGAAGCCTCACTGTCTGATAAACATTTTTGGAAAAACATTGCTGATATTGTGAATCATAATGTTGTTCAGAGAATTGGTTTTCCTGTTTTTGATAAAATAAGGTGGGATGAATTTGACTTGGTAAATAAGATTGGGTTGCAGTCTCAACAAGTTGCAGACGCCAGTTATATTGAATCTGGACTTGCTACTCCTGAAAAGCAGGAAAGGTTGGTACCACAAATATCATTTCTTACGCTTCAGTTTATTCCCATTTTTCAGATTGTGAGATCAAACTGCCAGAACGTTACAATCACGTGAAGAGTTGCTGTAATAATGGTTGCATCAGGTGAGAAGAGAAAACTAGCCATATTTTTAAAGCTTATAATGTCGTCGTACCTCAAAACAGGGGGGAATGGGGTTGCAAATGGGTGTGTTGGGACTGAGGCTGATATATAACAGGTGCCGAAATGGACAGATTTGGAAATCGGTGTTGTACATTTTTCATAAAGGCCGGCATTTGGGTCTACCATTGCGCCCCCTTAGTCGGGTGGACGTGATTCCGATTCCTAAAATGGAGGAAACAGAACTAGAACCTCTTGGGACCGACCGATATGATTTTGGTCCGGTTCCACCGGTGGTTCCCATTTTGGTTCTTGTTTCGATCCGTTTATTATTTTTAAAAAATAAAACAAAAACTACCATTAGATACCGGATTAAACAAAAAAAGAAAAAAAAAGAAAAGTAATGTGCATCTCTAGATCATTTTATGTCCCAACCAAGTTTTAATCACATCCTAGTTCACAGTGGAGAAAACAGTAAAGGCAAAAGTCTACTCACCATAAAATTATCTAGAGATGCACATTACTATTTGCCCTGGGGACGGGGATTATCCTTTTTTTAGTTGTAATATACACCTTCTGTCCATAAATAAAGTTTCGGTAGCGCGTTATGATGTCGCGTTATGATGTTTGACTGAAGTTATTTTCAAATCATTTTATATTGAAAATAGTATGAAATTAAAAAATAATAATTACATATTTAAAAACTACATGAAAAGATCTACAAAAGTAGAGGTGACGTGACTATATCATTTTCTTTTCCTTCAGTTTTTCATTTCTTTTAGGACGAAAGTTCTCCGTGGAATTATCCGTAAAATCTTTAAAAAAAACTATTTGTTTTCCCTAATCTCAGTACGAGCACTATTATTCAAAAGTTGTATTGTATCTACGATATGGGTTTACATAAATACTATGTTCCTGTTTGGAAATTACGTTTTCGATTAGTGTTAGTGTTTTGGATAAAATTTTAACGGTGTAGATTAACTTTGAAAACGCTAAATGCTGTCCATAGATAGTTCTTTCAAAATGCAAACACTAAACTCCCGTGCTATTAACTAGTTTCTTTCAAAGGCCTTACACTTGTTAGAAATTAGTTGAATACATAGAGGCCGATCCTCCAATGGATTTTTTTAAAAAAAACAAGCAGTGTTATTATCTAACTTTTAATATAAAAAATAGTATTAGTGCCCCCACCAAAAAATTTAGATACCCCATTAACCTTTTCTAATCTAAAAAAGGCAAAAAAGGTTGTAACACTTTAATTGAAAATGAACTTAAGTGATCTAATTGTGTATAATCTCTAACAATTAAAAGTGTTTAATTACTTAGTTATGACTGATGTGTACTAATTTAACATATTGAAATGAAAGTTAGTTCTATTTGTCGTTTTACATTGGCTTTCAAAATGTCGTGATTTTCTAGATTTTCTGTATAA